ACGGGAGACAGGCGTGACAGATGTATGTGTGTGTGTATAAACTATAATTATTTCAGAGTTTTCATTCACAAACTTTAAAGATAAGAGAGGGTGGTATTTGTTTTTCACACCTTCGATCATAACTAAAAACTACGCATCTTATTTGGAGCGTATAAATAAAAATTAGTTTTAAAATGTACAAATAAAGCGCTTTCATATGATATACTACTTCGATGGTTTCCAGGGGGCTACGTGGAAGTCGACCTACAGGATATATTGCTAGCAATAAGACTATCAAACAAGTACATTCTGATAATCTTATATTACAATGTTTTTCATGTCAACCTGTAATAAAATAATTAGGAATAAAGCATAAGCTTTATCAAGTATAATAATACAGGTCAGGTCAAAAATTCGTAATATTTTTATTTCGTTTGAGCAAGTTTTTGAAAGCACCGGTGCATGTGCTCGAATATAAATTCTGAAACAAAACATACTGTCGATGTTTTAATTTCGAATGGAAGTTAAAGTTAAAATAACCTGCAGTTATTGACACATATGCAAGTATAATAACTACGGTTGAAAAAGTATTAGTTATATGCTTTGAGGTTATTACAAAACTTTTTAATTCAAATCTATATTACTAGTTTATTACCTCTATCCCGATTTGTCCGCATGACTAGAGCATTTTAATTTCCCAGCACAAAAAATAGCCTATGCTCTCTATTCCAAATACAACATAATGCTAAATACAATTCCCCTTATTGGGTTTTTTTTTATGGATAATAATGAATTGGTAACCCCGCCTGCGCTAACGGTATACGCTGGCGGGGCACCAATGAGGGATGATAGGTGAGGATGAAAAATCAGATCAGTTAGCTCATCGTGATGAATACATCTGGAATTCAGCACGATGGTTTCCAAGGGGAACCACGTGGAGGTCGACCTGATAGGGCATATTGCTAGCAATAGGACTAATAGTCTGCATTACTAACAACCCCCCCCCTTATTAGGGTTGACCCTAAAACAGTTAATATATGAACAAACAAACAAACACTTACATATTTATATTACTAAGAAAGTTGGGGAAAGGATTAAACATATATAGTAACAGCTTGTGTACAATAGTGTTATAGGTAACTAAACTAGTTGGCAATAAGATGTGCTGACACAAAGCCCGGCTAATCAAATCCTGTAGGTAGCACGGCAGGCCCGTAGCCCCCTACCGCTGGCGTCGGTCGAGGGTCACTTCCAATATTGTAACTAGTGAGCAGACGGGATTACAAGGGAACATCGGGCTCAACGCTTAATGGATTTACTGTTAGTTGACGTCCACAAATAGCGACAGGGACCTTTTGTTTACGTCAACAGCTGCCGTAATAATTACTACAACGGTCTTTTAATTAACCTCTCAACATGTTTATGATGGACAGTGAATGTTACATACATTACAGTCCATGTTGATTAGAATCTATATGAAACATTTCGTAATAGCATAGGTATGTACATATATTACTAATAATATTCTGGCCTTATTACAGAACCTAATATATTAGTAAAAATATAGGCCCTAAATCCGTCCTGTACCTGTATATATTTTATTTAACATGTGAAATAAAAAATAAGTACATAGTATCTATATTCATGTAGTAAAATACTCTTTCAAGTTACATGTTTTTATAGTAATGTTAGTTATTCGTTTTTCCTTTTGGATTTCATATATATCTATAGTTCGATACGCATATTTTATTTAACTTTGCAATAGTTCTACCTATAAAGTGAACCATCGAGATATATTGATGCCAGAGAAGAAATTTTATTATAACTAAATAAATATTTCGTTTTGAGCACCTCACTTATATTTGTTCTGTTCAAAACGAAAATATTAATCTAAAACCATACTTTTTATTCAAAATTTTTATAGGTTTCTTGGTATACCAAAAATTGTTGCGTAAAGTCATACAGTAGGTTCTATTAGAATGTTGAGTTAGTTTGTGTTTATTTTGTTATCAGAATAAAACACTTAATCTGAAGATTTATGTATTTCTGTCAAAAAGAATTTAAGAAAATTGTGTGGTCCGTCATAGATAGACCACACCTTCCTTTCCCGTGGATGTCGTAAGAGACAATAAAGGAAACATAATGGTCGACGGATGGGTAGCAGCGTTCCACTTAAAACATGACCAAAAAGCTTAATACGGCTGACAACCTGCCCAAATAGCGGAGATCAACGAGTATGTTCAGCAGTGGACAGGTAACAACTAATTTGATGACAAAAAGGGAGTATAAATTAGAGGACAACAGTATTTGTAATTAAAATACTCGTTACCTACTTCATCGTATCGTAATAAATCATTATCGCCATCTTTAGTTTTATTACTTATTTCATTGAAAATGTTACTAATCGTCGAAAATTTGAGTAAGGTATTTAAATTTAATTAATTATTTATAAACTATATAAATTGCGCTTATCAACCAATTTTTTTTTGCCAAAATCAAACAAGTAAGTTAACTCAGTTCAAATTTGTATTCTTTAAATAATTATTTAGATATAATACGTAAGTAATTATATTATGAAATAAGGAATATAAATAACATGTTCATAGATTTATTGGTGTTATTTATTATATTTATAGTTGTAATTTTACTGTACATTTTATTAACGTTTTGACGCAAACATTCATATAATGTTTCATCACGAGTCTATAAAATACAAAAGCGAATAGTAGCTATGAAATCTTTAGCAAAAATATACGTTGGAAAGTACACATAAACACAAGTATGCGAGTTATTAAAAAGCGAAGTTGGAATGGCCGTAATATTTTATATTTCTCTTATATCTAAGTAATAAACATTTTAATGGCCACAGCATTTTTTCTTTAAGTAATTTTTCATTATCTTTTCATAACAGCCCATAAATGAATTTTTGTCGATTACCTGTTGTACTTATTTCTATTTCACTTATTTATAACCAACTATTGCCATTAACTTTGTATATATGGATTTAGAAGGAATTAAATAGAACACTTCTAGATACGGTATTAAGGTTTTAAGTCCCATCTTATGGAACAGTACAATAGAAACTGCAGTCAATTTAGTGCAAAAATTTTTGCGCAATGTTGAAATATGATTGCAGATAGATAGACCGACAGACAGACAAAATTCTAAAAAATATTGTTTTGATTTCTATTGCTCTTATTTAATATCGCCCATATGATTTTTTCTTCAATTAAATATTTTTATTGATATTAGATATTGTTAAAATATATGCAGATATAATTTAAAAATTAATTTTTATACTGTTACTTACACGTTACTACTACTTTTATACTTACAGTTATTCAATTATTTTTTTATTATTTGCCCATTATTTTTTAAATTTCTGCTTAGTTCTATCATATTAGTAATTTTCTGCCATAATGAAAATTCGATGTATAGAAATCAAATAAATTTAATTCGAGTAAAAAAAATATTTAGTAATAATTTTTCCGAATTAATTTAATTCCCGCCGAAACGAAAATTTGTGAAAACAAGTCAAATAGTTAAACTATTCGAAATTCGAATAGAAAAAAAAATAGGTAATATCATAGATAAAGAATATATTATATCTGCAGTATAATAATTAAAAATAAAAAATGCCCCAGCGATAAGACCGCCTTTTGTACCTTTATGTGTATATTTCAATCTGTATTTATGTTACTGTATTTCACTTGAATTGTTCAATTGTCATTGTATCTTTTTGTTTATGGTGCAATAAAGAGTTAAATAATAATAATAAATGTCATATAAATAAATAATTTTTTATTTTTAAGATGTCGTACCAGTAGGGTTTGGTGCCACTTTGTTCGTCCATCTGTCCGTTGTCTCCGTATATCCATCCGTCCATCTGTCACAGTGCTATGTCTCTACAATTGCTAATGTTATTAAGGTTAGAGGATCCAAAATTGATGATAAAATTTTCAAAAGATATCTACTAGTTTAAATGAGGTATTATTTGAAAGGACTTCATCTGCATATTAATTTTTATGTATTTTTATACTGAATAAAATATGAAAGAAACCTATTTTCTCTTGACTCCAAAATTTGTGAAGAGAAAAATCTGAAATAATTACTATAAAGGATAATTATGTTTATGTTTAACATAATTGAATAATTTACATCCAAAAGCTTATTACACAACATCTTTGTTTTTCAAAGAAATATATTCAATTATCTGTTGAATATAATTATTTAAATGGGTATTTCACAACATTTATATGTATATATATATGCTGTCACAGATATTATTTTTTACAGATCTATTTCTTTTAACGCGCTACCTACCTTTTTTGCTATATTTATGCTTTAATTCCTTCTACCCAAAGGTTGTCTGGAAGAGATTGCTTAGCAATAAGACCGCCTTTTGTACTATATTATACGTATTGAAAATTGCTCAACAAATCCTGTTATGTTGGTGCAATAAATTTTGGGTATGATATTAAGGCAATTTATTATGTTAATTTATATTGATGCGTAAATTTTATTTTTTATGTAATGTGTGTTCGCCACCTTGTCCTCAAACGCATTTTGATAATTTAATAATAATGGTTAGCTTTAGATTATGCTATATTGCATTGGACTCGCTAATTGTAAAAAAATTATTGTTCAATAAATAATAAATAAACATCTTTAATATTAGTGGGATTAATGTAAAATATATAGGTAGGAACCTATTTATGAAAGTAACTATTCTGAAATTTCTGTGGGTAAATATGATCTAAATTAAATGTTAATATTATTATGCTTATAATATATAAACACATAGAATCATAAGTGTTCCATTATGCTCATTTGGCAATAAAGCCCTTGAACATCCAACCCATCCCCATCTGTACTCATCGAACCGTGGCCACCGTTGTGAGGTTATTGCTCTGTCTAGTAGAAGTCGCCCTTCAGTCAACCTTATGTTATTTAGGTATTGTTATTATATTGTATTATACAATATACACAATTTAATAATTTGACATACTCTTTCTTTTCAGGTAAAATGTGTGGCGATACAATGGAAGTCTGATTAATTGGTTGATATTAGACATGTGAGAATCGAATTAAATTTTTAATGGGTGTTAAAATTATTCGAAGTGAAGTACAGTAATAAATAGTGTGAGTGCAGATGTGTGAAGTGTTATAAGTGCGTGGCCATGAGTTTCTTGTCGTCGCTGGGTCAGTATGTGGCAGGCGTGGCGGACAGCGTCGCAGGGCTGGCGCTGTCACCGCGGCGCGCGCCACCCGCCCGTCACCGTTCTGCTGAGGAATCACAGCCGCAGCAGACTCAGCCCTCTACAGCCACCATGAGAGGTTACTTTAATATAATTTTGTTGAAGAAACATTAATTAAAATAATTATGTTAATAATTTATTTTAGCATTACGAGTAGCTGTTAATTTTCAATTACTTCACATATACTGCCATAAAAAAAACAGTCAGCCAGCCACTGACTTCCATACATACTTAATAACAAACATCGAGCAACATATTTGTGGTAGTCGCTCTATCGTATAACGATTCTACGCTGTGTTTGTCTGTATAGTGTCATTTCTTGAAACGTTCTTCCCCAGTTCTTTGAGCTTTATGGTATTTGTATTTAGTTTTTATATAGAACCTTTGCATCAATTATTTTAGTTTTCTTATCCTTCTGGTGCAATTACTATTGAGGTTCTGCAAATATATTAATTGTTAATTTTAGTCAGATCTCGGATCCTTTTTGTTGCTGTGAACTAGTTAAGAAAAAAACATACAATCATAACTTTAGGATTTATTTTTATTTTTGGTATTATAAAAAAAAATGTTCCAGTAGCTGACTGTATAGTAAAAAGTAATTTTTCGTAATTATCGTGGTAAAATTTTATTAAGTAAATTTTTCATTAAGGTACCACTATTAAATATTCATATTTATTACTGATTCAAGTTTTTAATGAGTAATTTATATCGATAAAAGAACATTCTTACTGAAGAATAGAAATACCAAGAGTATTGCTATTTGTATCCTTTCATAACTTATATTAGGTACCATCTACTGATAAAGCCTAGCTGAAAAATTGAATATACCTGATTTTAAATTACAACAGGTTTTCCGCGAGTGGTGCCGACAGAAGGAGCCTCTGCTCTAAGCGCACGCCGGCGGACTCTCGACTGCCTAGCTCCAGCGGCACCTCCACGTCGAGGAGGCTCACTCCGGGTACCACGACACCAACAACCGCCGGAGAAACCTACCATGGCTTTTTGTAAGCGGCGTCTCTCTTGGCCTGAGGTCGACAACTCTGTCAACTCTGGGTAAGAATCAACGATTGTATCTACCTGTAACGTACGACTATACTTTTTACGCATTGTTCTTAATATTTTTGATCAGAAAAAGCAAGTACAAATATGTATCTTGTAGCTGGAAAATTCCACTTCTGTTTAATTTCCATGTGCATTTCAAATATACACAACCCCAAAGCACAAGTTCCAATTACATTTCTTTGTTATTTTACGAGGAAAATAAAATATTGTTTATCAAATGTATGTACGTATATATTAATTTGTGGTTCAATATGTGACTTAAGTGACTTGTTAGATTTTAATAAATGGGTGTCGTCGGATTCAAATCTCCCAATTTTAGGTGTAGTAAAATTTAAATGATGCTGGTAAAAAATAAATGTGGCGTCAATCGTCAAAACTTTGAGAAACTTTATAGTGGATTTTTGTGGCATGCCACAAAACATGTTCAATTCCTTGCGTGTAGGTACGGTAACAGTCTTTAATTAAAAATCTTATATACGAATAAATATTGGCGCAACGTCTACGTGAAAGATTGGATCAATTTTCGTGTGTACACATTTGATTCGTGTTTATGATGATTAATTTATAGTAAGTAGGTCATCTAGCGACCTGTTGCACGTCCTTGCACGTGTCCCTGCGACCCTCTACCCTCCGGCAGCCCTCTCCCACCCTGGTGCTCGTCACCCCCGCACTATCCCCTCTACGCACATTTATGTACTTGCTATGATTGAAGTCGTATTGCCAATACACATTTAATTGGGAACTCGTTTACCGTAAATATATCACGTATAAAAAAATAAGTACATGCACTCGTATTAACGTCTCACTTAATGACATGTAGCATTTTATTGCTTCGATACTCTGTTCAAATTTACAATTTGCAAGTTCAATTAACGTAATTAAACCATTATGTGATTGCTGTATGCTAATAACAGCGTCTGACTTGAAATCAGACAGTTTATCTAGGAGTAAATTTAATTATACAATAGAACCATTTTTATTTTGTTATTAATGGAATACTTTCTGCTTTATTACAAACAACATGAGGTTATTGCATTTTTGCATCAAAATGAATTATAAGGTTGTCTGCGATCTAGTTATTCAACATAGGCTGTTGTCGATAAATAGATAAAGTTTATCAAGAGCGAAACGAATTCAATTTCCCATATGGGCTCGTCGCAGGCCTTAATTGCTCCCATTAGGGATATGAGGCAATTTGTGGACTGTCTGAAGGAAAGGAATGAACTACTCAACCCTTATTCTGTTACATTTACTCTGTTGTACATGTCAGTTACTTAGAATTTTGTTGTATCAATCTATACTACCTCGAATATATAATAAGTTATTTTTGGAGAAATTTTAAACGATTACTTTTCTATTAATCTACGTGATATTTAATTACGCAGAAGAGTTTACTATTTTTCTTGTGTCAATGTTACACTATATCTATGCCAATTCTAGACTAATATTAAAGGTTTTTTTTTAATTTAAAATATTGACTTTTGTGATACTCTCATATCAGTTTTTTTATTGCGTGTATATAAATAAAACATTACAAGTCAAATATTTTTAATGTAATTGTAATTTATTATTTTTAGTCACATAATTATGTTAAAAAACCACTGATTTAAAAAGCTAACAAATAATGTAATTCACTCCTCACTTCAAAGTTATCTTAGCGAGGTCAAGAAAAATTTGATTACATTTAAAGTGGCAGAATAAAATAAGAGGCAATAGGCACCCGGAGGTTTAATCAAATTTTGTATTCTAGCAAATGGGGCTCCAGCTGATGAATCGAGCCATCTAGCGGCGGGAGACCGTTTGGTGAGCAGCGCGACGCCGCGCCGCCCACGCGTCTCGTTCTTGTTTATTGACACCCATTACCAAAATTAAATACTTAAGTTTACTCTACCTAAAGCTATTAACTTAGTTCTGTACCTAATTAGAAAACTATTTCTTTTCTCAATCAGTTTCCGTAGCTTTTTTATAAGACATAGAAATGAGGCACGTCTACTACAAACTTTTTTAATGTTGTTAATTTTCTTGCAAATATTTATAAAGACAATTTAATTATCAAATGTCAATAATGAGACGTATAATTCGGCTTCTTTAAGTTTCGCTCACCAAATTTGGATATTGGAGTTAATATAAAAATTGGTCATAATATTCAGAGTTTCAAAAGTTTCATAGTTTGTGTCGCTGTATAAAAAGGTCATTGCATTATGTATGGGTTTCTTAAAAAAAGGTATTTTAAGATTTCTTCAGGGTTGGCAATGCGCACGTGACGCTGCTAGTGCTGCAGGCGTCCATAGACTACACTGATCGTTTAATATCAGACGGGCTGTACGCTTGTTTCCTACCTTTGTGTACTGTCTAATTTTATCCTCTAACAGTGATTATTCAATTCTGATATTATTTATTTAGTTAAGCTACAATTTATGAATGCTATCGATTATTATTGTTAACTAACAAATTGATATAATAATTATATTTAGACAGAACTAATATATTGTTAAACCTAGCGCTTTACGCTATGAATAAATGCGATCAATTAAAGATAGGGATTTTTTTATGGGTGAAAATGGTATGGTAACCCCGCCTGCGCTAACGGGATACGCTGGTGGAGCACCAGTGCAGGGTGATAGATGAGAATGAAAATAGGCCAGTTAGCCCATCATGGTGAATTCATCAGGAATTAACCATGATAGTTTCCAGGCAGAACCGCGAGGAGGTCGACACGGTTGGGTATATTGTTAGCAATAGGATTCTCAGTCTCCATTACTAACAATCCCTTTCCCCCCTAAAGATAGGGATTAGTCACAGAAGCTGTTATCATGGTATTGAGTTATACATTTTCTTTGAATATATTTGATTCAATAATCTAGGTCACTTTTAGGTAAAGGTTTTCTTAAAGGTGTTTACTAACACGAAAGAGGAGTGTAGGTACCAGTTATTGAGTGGTCTGCTGATAGCTTTGCCTCATGTATGTCCGGATTTGACGTTTTGTCCGTTCATATTCCTGTTCCGAATTTTTTAGTATTTTAAATTTTTTTACAACTTGGTTTAGAAAAAAAATTGCCAGGTAGGTTTTTGATAGAAGAGTGGATTTATAGCACTAATGTTTCGCACTTTCATACTCGGAAATAAATCTTTCCTAATTATTTTCTGTAGCTATAAAACGAAAAATCGATTAGATAGTTTTCAATATTCATTTGTTCCTGTAGAAAATGTAGTAGATCTCAATGAAGTTGAACAGAATTAATTTTATACTACATAGTTATAGCAAACCGACTATTAACCCGAAGGATTGTTTACCACTTTCCATTACGTTAGCTGTCAAATTTTTAGCCGTCGCCTACAGATATGGACAATCAATCAATATCAATCAACAAAATTTACCTATTTTCGCAATATGGACACAGTTTGTTATTGATAATAATTTTAATAATATAAGGATCTTAATCGGTCTTGCAAGCATGCGAATTTAGATACAATATTAGAAATGTAAATTTTATAATTTATCATTAAAATAATTATGCAAATTTATTTAGAAAAATCTTAAGTGTAATCTTAAATTTATAAATATTCTTGATATATACATATCAAGAATATTTTTAATAAACGATAGAGGCTTGTTGATTTCCTGAATAGTTTTGTATTTATTAGAAATATATGTTTGATATCTCAAACATATATTTCTGTAATGTCGATTAATATGTCTTTTAACGCATTTTGAACCATTGATAATAAATTATATTAAGTAACCTAAATACATAAATATTTTTTTAGTTTCAATATTAAATTTTTTACAAATAATTTCCTCAAAATCATCCGTTTTAGCTGTGCAAATTATTTCGAATTCACTACAAATAAGACTAAATAAACCATTCGATAAGCCATTTAATATACTATGATTATGAGTTCGAGTTCGTATTCCTATATTATTGTACATCATAAATTTATGTATGTAAAAACTACTTGATTTACTATTTATTAAAAGACTGCCATAAGAAAGGGCGCAAACTGTCTTGCAATCTTGGGAGTAAACTTTATCCATTAAAAAAAAATATTAAATTAATTTCACAATTGTACACTTCTTCCTTTTTTAGTGTTTAAAGCAAAATAAAAAGAGAAAAAAAAAACCTCACGGTTGAGATTTTATTGAGAATCCCGTGAGCGCTCATGTCTATTCGCGGCGTGATTGTTTCGTCACGGGGCCACAAGGAGTTGCCACTAATTTGCAATTCTCCTTTACGTAGAAACACGTTAATATCCTTCGAGAGCTTGTGATTTCCCCAATATCATTATTTGTCTTGATGGTCTTTGTTGTGGTGACAGGGTTCGAAGTTTAGGATAGAGGCCGCGGTCACCGAACGTAAATTAGGTACCTATACAAACACAATTATAATATGTTAATAACTAAATGATGGCCTTTCTAATATATAAAAGAGAGTTTTTTTGTGTGTTAATTACCCGTTCGAGTCTTAATAACTCAATCAATTTCAGATGGAAAAGAACTTAGGATATTTTTTTATTTTGATTAATATATCTCGATTTCGTCGAATTTGCGAGCAGAATAAATATATAAGATATTGTAAATTTTTATACGCAAATTCAATATATTTCACATCAAGTTAATATATCGAATTTTAAAGTATATGCTCAATAAAGTATTTTATGAAGTTTTGATTTCTTTATGTTGGTTTCAATTGGTTTTTCGTCTGAATACCAACTAACTTCTTATATTATTTTCTTTATAAAAATGCTTGTTCTTTTGAACTGAAGTTCGAATTAGAAAATTTATACAATTATAAAGGTTAAGTAAACTATCTACGTAGAGTGGTAAGTTTTGTAAGCTCCCTAAAACTTACAAAAGACCTCTCCGTGGTAAAAGGCAAGTTTTGACCAAGTCCCCAAAGTGTTTGTCAAAGATCCGTCTATTGAGCAATGCCAATAGACAAAGATAAACACTGATATCCTGCCCTACCGCTCTATCTATGGCACGTAGAGGGAAGAGAGGGTGTTGTTTGTTCTGGCTGTGCCAGCGAGGAAAGCTTACTGATAAGTGCAGTGTTGGGTAACTTAATGATCAAAAATTATGTAAGCGAAAAGATTTTATATAATAGTAATCTATACTATATATATATAAGTCCAATTAACCTTTGAAATACTAACTCGTAAGTGTAAAATATCTATATCTACTTTTAACCGGTCTAAAATGTAGCCTAAATCTTTCTCCATAATCGACAGGCTATATATGCCAAATTTCATGACGATTACTTGAGTTTTTGTATCCAAGGGATAAAACAGAAAGAAAATATAAAATGTGATAGAACATTTTATAATATTATTAAGGATAGTAAAAATAAAACAGTAATTTACGTTATCGATATGTTTAATACTGATATAATATTATACTAAAATTTTATACTTATTTACTACTTATTTTTAAAAAGTATTAAATAGATATTTTATTTATTACTTATTGAATATGATGATAATTTTATGTAATTTTTCAATTCAAACACCACTTGTACGTTTACTTGCAAAATTAACAATCAGCTTTGCATCAATAGTGTCCATTCATATTACTTATTTATTTATTTAATACTTTCTTGTACACACTAATTATACATAAATATATGACAAAGGTAATCAAAACTGGTAAAACCCCCCATGATGATAATGATGAATCAAATGTGCAAACTAAGAGAGTTTTCTTTTAGAAAACTCAAAGTGGAAAGGAGCATCAAGTCAATAGGTAGAGCGGTGATATTGTGACAATTTTCAAACAAATGAACTAAACTAATTTAAGTTTATATATAACTATTACGTTATATTTAATTGCATATAAACACATACATACATACATACATGGTCACAATTATATACTTACACATACATACACATATCATCACCTAATGCTGATATGATAATTCATATCAGCCTTTAATTGTCCACTGCTGAACATAAGCCTCCCATTAGATGCATTATGCGGAAAAATCTACGAAGCAGATGGCATCTACAATGAATTTAATCAGAAAGAATTATGAGAACAGTATAGATAATATATGAAGTAAGATTAACATTATATTTTATGCATGCTCGAGGGTGATATAGTGTGAAAATGTGGGGAGATTTTATGAATAAAAAAGATTATGTAACTGCAGCGTTGTATTCCTGATAAAAATAATAAAATATTTTCGTTCGAAAAATTATGTTAACAGTGTATTCACTATTAATATTAAAGTAAAAAAAGAACGTTGGTACTTAATCTACTATTCATATGTAAATATAAATTTATAATATTTTGCTCTGAATACAAAATTTAAATTATTCGATATCAATGTATAGATTAAATATAACAAAATGCACTGATCTCTTTATCTATTCATTTTTTGATCGATGAAGACCTCACTAATAAATGCCACTCTCTACCATCTAACATTTGGTATGTACAAAGATGCGGAGTTAGTTAATTATAATAATATGCTAACAGGTTTTCATCATATTAAACCATTATAATTATACTTTATAAATACAAACTTTTTAAAATAATTTTCAAATCATAGAACTAATATTCTAATGGAAATCTTATTTGCATATGTATTTTAACATAATCAAATTATTATTAAATTTAAAAAATAATAAAAGTAAGTAACAACAGTAATTTTTTTTTGTTTGATCGTAATTTCAAGAAAGTTTCTCAAAAGGAACGAACTCCAAGTTATTAAAATTATGAAGCATTGAAAACCGCTGAAAGACATTTATGGAATTAATGAACCTATTTGTTCTATAGATATACATATATATGAATTACTTTTATAATTTTATTAAATAAATTTTTCATTGCCTACAACATATTGTATTAAGAGTATTGGTGTTAAACTGAATTAAAATTATGATTGTTAGTTTTAAACAAAAGTAAACACCACCAACACCACCATCACCACCACACACCATTTATTTATGGTTTGACTATAAATAAATAGCCTATTTATTTATTATGCAAACAACAAGTGGTAACAAATGTATTCAAAAAATTTATGATGAGTCTTATAGCACCATGTCCATAATAATTTTAATTGAAGATAAGAATGAGATAAGAGTGAGGAGTGCTTTAATTATACTATTTTTACCTAAATATTTATTATTAAGTCATTCCTCCATTGACTTTATTTGTCACGAATAACAATAAATTACATGATATTTTAATGCTTAAAGCCAGTTAGTTATTTGGACAATATAAATAAATAATAATAATAATTTATTCAACAAATAATACAGATGCATTATATAAGATACATATTTACAATACTTATTAATACTCAGTGTCTCTGGTCTCCATGCTAGGAAAGTCCTGTGTTATGAAGGTCAGGTACTGTACTTTACATAATTAATATTCTTATATAAGTTTATACAATTGTTAATTATTAAAAACTATAGAATTAAAGGTTAAACTGCAAAGGAAAAGACAATAATACTATTACAAAATATAAACAACAATAATATTATTATGAAATAATAAATTTACTGTCCTTATATATTATATGTTAACTAGGCCATGTAACTACGAGGACATGAACTATTTACATTTAGATGAAAAAAAAAGTAAAAAGAAAAAATATATAATATAATGTGGATGTAAATTATATATATATATATATATATATATATATATATATATATATATATATATATATATATATATATATATATATGTATGTATGTATGTATGTATACATGGATAAGCATGTTCAAGCAAAACTAGGTCATCGCCAAATTATTATCGTTGCCATTGTGTAAGTGAGACACGCGGATACGATCATGTTAGTTTGTGGACGTTATAAGAAAGAACAAACAAACCGTCACGCACACCCCAGCGGGATTTCCGACATATTACGCGCTTTATGCTCTCGTCGTTGGCAGCGAATCATTCCCAATAGATAATAGAGTTCACTCAGCGTCGCGGAAAGGTTTCAATAGATGTACATACCTTCTACGTATTCGGCATTGTTAGTAGGTCGCTTTTGTTATTGACTTGTTGATACGCCGTGTACATACGTCGATAAAATACCGCGATATCGACTGTTGTTAAACAATTTTCTAGCTTTTGTGAAACATTATTACATTTTTGATTACAAAATAATAACACTTACTAGTTTGTACCTCGTGGTTTTGCCCATATCTATTAGGATGATAGTAGCCTATATTTATTAATTCAGGATACACTCCATTTCCGTACATAATTTAATTCAAATCTGTTGAACTGTTGAGTAACAAACATCCAAATATTGCACAAACTTTTACAATTTATAGTTTTAATGGTATTGTTTTTTTAAAATAACGTTTGTAGGTAAACATCTTTTATCTTCATCATCATCATCTTCAGCCGTTAGCGATTCACTGCTGAACATAGGCCTTCCCTATAAGGAGGTGTTGCCAATCTTTTATCTTATTTCTTACTATTATAATAAAATTGTAATTAGGCAATATCTATATGTGGGAGATATTAAAAGAATAATAAGAAGCCATAACAATACTTTTAGAAATTATGTGTGTCTGTCTGTTTGTTCCGATATCATACAAAAAATTCTGTACAGAAGTGTTGTTTTACTTACTTAGCAGGCAATAAACTAGTTTTTAAATAAATTTTGTTGGTCCTATGCTGGTCCTATATTATTATTTTTTTGCCATAAATATAGCTATTTTTTTGCGATCTTAAGTTACAGTAATTGCTGAAGAGTCGTTATACAAATATTATATAAATTATGATTTAATATTGTTATAGAGTTCAAGAAACTGACGGTTCATACTTTGAGAGCTTTACGGCATTGTCGTGGCGGCAAGAGAACCGGCGCCTGGCAGCTTTACGCCTAGCCGAAGCAAGAGCTGAGCGACCACCTCCAGCGCCACATGAACTCGGCTTACCTAGTGTGTCAGCACAATTGTCCCACAAAGAACACGAACATTTATATACAGAGGTGATCATAATTCGTAATGTAAAGTGAGCTTTTATTATTCAGCCTATTGTAGTGTTGATCGTAACTAACATAGCCAGCTAAGCTCCTAACAAGTAACTAAGACAAGTCAACCGATAGCGTTGAAGATATCTTCAAAATCTTCACAAAAAGATGATAATTAAGAAACTTAGCAAATTGTCCCTTTAAATATAATGAAGGGCGTTAGCAATCATTATAACTTTCGTTAATTGCCCACCAATGAATATATATATACAGTCTATCTATTATACATACAATGAAAAATATTTCATTGTATGTATAATAGATAGACTGTGGACGATCTCATTATATTTTGTATAATAGATGCATAATCGTATTACATTGTCCTTTTGGATGAATATTAACTTTTATTTTAATTAATTTAAATAATTAAATATTTAATTTAATAATTAATTAATAATTTAAATTAATTTAATAACTATGGAGTCAACTCCCAGCAGCAATATTTCTGAACAGATACGACATTGGAAGCTTCAAGAGAAGAGCATAGTCCTAACTAAAAGGCCGGCAACACACTTTTAATTTATTTGATGTTGCTGATGTATGGGCGGCGGTAATCCCTCGATTAAAACCATCAAATGAGCCGCATGCTCGTTTACGCCTTATGTTATAAAAAATATTTTACGTATTTTCAATGTACGTAGGTACTGTACTGCATTGAGAATGCAGTGGGAGCTCCGGCACCGGATGGTCAGTTCGCGTCATACAAAGACGAGGTGATAGAGTACGCGCGGCGTGCGTTCAGAGTTTCACCGGAGGTACATTCCCGTGCGGTGAGGGCTGCAGGTAGCGAACGGCCTCCAACAGTTGTTCTGGGCTGCTCAGTAATAGAAGCAGATGGGCTCGAAGCTAAGGACGCAAACGGTAAGAACATCAGAGAAATTGTGTTTACATTTAATTGATACATAAGAAGACTTGTAGTGCTTGTAACGTCTGTATTACCTTTAAATACATAATCGATGTAAATAAAAAAGTAGTTCTATTACACTCTAAATATAATAGGAGATACATCTGATTATTTAGGGTGATCAAATAGGAATGACAAATAGCAATTAAATTACTATGCAAATTTTTATTTATTTATTTATACTTGTACAAAGAAATTTACTTATAATTAATACAATGAGTTAAAACAACTTATAGTACCTACACACTTACATAAGAAATAGGGTAATACTAAATCCGAATTCATGTTAGGTACTTAGAGTATTTATATAAGTTCTTTTATTATTGATTTTATATATCTAACTTCTATTTTACTTTAATTTCTGTCACGATTCGGAAGTATTCAAAATAGTATGTAGATTGGACGGGCTTCTTTAGCATTGTCAGCCTAATAATAATTTGCGTTTTTTTTAATATAATTTTTAGTAACTATTAATATATCTAATAAACACCTACACCTTATTTATATATAAGTATAAACGTATTATTAGTATAACGAAAATATGTATCTGTCATTATTTAAAAACTTTGTAAAGTAACACTTTAATGTTTTAGTATTATGATAGCTTGACCCTTGTATCACATAAAGTCACGTAGTCTTTGTAAATAATTTTAAATATGAAATTTGGTGGTAGATAATATTATAAATGTAGAGACATATTGTAATTTATTGAATGGCATATTAATCCACAGCCTAACATAATTTAATCTAGAACTTTTAAATTTTGCATAAGAGTTCTTTATGTAAGTATCGTATTCATCGTCTAGGGAATGATTCCTGGAAAGCCCCTCGGGAATGGAAATTTGTAGGTACACACAACGTTATGTGAGGGTTGTTTGGTAAATAAACACACTTTATAGTCCGTGTTATATATATGGTAAATACATCTATAAATAGAACACATAGCAACTTGGTAAATATTTATTTTAATGTCTATGAATGAAGAAAATATGAAATTTTATACCCACATCTTTGTGTACAACATCTTAAGACTAGAACATGTAATACTTAGCTAATTCTATTATGATGTTGCACCTTTTCTTAAAAAGTAGAGCAACCACACCATCAACTAGAAGCACCATTATAGTTATAATAAATATGACGTACAAAATAGTTTAAAATATAATATAAAATAATAGATACACATCTACCTATCTACCTAACTTGAAGATCACCAGATTGAACACTAAGTACCTAATCGTGTTACTTATACTGAAATTAATATTTATTTGCGACTTCCTTCAATGTAATTACTGACTAACTGGAATAAAAACTAGCCCATGTCTTCATTCAAAATAGTATAGATAAACAAAATTTCATGACAATTGATTAAACTGATAAAGCGACAAACTTATTTTTACATTTATAATATTAATAAGAATTTCTGAAACAAAAATTACAAGTATTTTATCAATATGATACTAGAGGGAGATCTTTATACTTGGGACTAGTTGTTATTAGTAGTTTAGTTTTTTACTGTAGTAAACGGCTTATAAAAATTAATATTTGAGTATATGCGGTCAAATTTTCCAAATACAATTAAAGTCAAGTTTATAGGAAACTATTCTATGTTGTATCAATTTACTTGTATAATTTGAAACGTATGTGGTTTGCTTTAATACGATGTGAAAATATTAATAATCCTCATCCTTGTTTACTATTTCAAGTAATAAAATTAAATATATTCAAATGTATTCAAAAATACATACTTGCATACATACTAAATAAAATTACTTGCTGAATCAAGAACCTTCTTCATTTGAAGTCGCGAAAAACAAGAGTGACGATGAGAAAAATATAGAACGTAATATAGTGTTATGGTACGAAGTACCTACATAAAGTGTGGTTATAGCGTGGAAAACGGCTGTAGGCACGCGCGCTTGTTAAATTGTATTGAGTTTATGCGCGGTACGCGATTGGCGATGCAGGGACCGGGTGAAGTAGGAAAGCGTATATAGCAAAGTCCTTGTAACTTGAGTATATTCCCTCTACATTCTACATCCAATTGATAGCTTGATCGACCGCTTGCTGAGAAATGCACTTACAAGAAATCGCAATAAGTCTGGATGCTTCTATTTCTAATAAAAGCTTTTTGATGCTATTGAGTATTATTGCAAATTGCAAGATTCTATTTTCAATTGAAATCAAAAATAAGGTTTTCAATTCGCTTGATTTTTTTTATGTTTGTTACCTCTAACTCTGTCAGTTCTAAAACGATTTGGTTTAATTTTATCTGAAAGGTTATACTTACAGAATGGTCCTATAGAAATTTTATTAAAATCCATTCAGTAGTAGTATTAGTTTTTAGAACAAATTAACTGGTTTTATACAGAATTGAGGAACTGAAGTTGGAGTTTTTGTGGGGTTCAATTTTTAATTATTTATACATTATTAAAAAAATTAAGTGTATTTATTGGAACCATAAAAAAAATATAAAAGTAGGGTAGTGTACGATAACAGCCACATTAGTTAAAAATAACTGTGTCTTTAAAATAATTATGTCTTAATCTTAATTAGTTCTAAATCGATCGATAATATGAAGATTAAGATGCTATCTCCGCACCTTCTTATTTCACTGTTATGTCCCATTTGTATAATATATAGGTACGAATTAACTGAATAACTTTTCTCAGGGGTCGAAGTAAGAAAATATTTTTTCTCTTTCACTCTTACTAAATCGATCGCGAGGCCGCGCAATTTGTATAAAATTTTTCAAAGTTATTTTCATATTAAAATTTTGACCCATGTTCCAGGAAAATTCAATTTCACGAATACTCTCTCTCGCGAAGATTTCGGATTGTGCCTTTTATTATACCCACTGTATCTATATCTATAGAAACACCATATTTTTATATCACAACCTACTGTGATATAGATGTAGTAAATAGATATAACCATACTCCAGACATGTCACAACAAAACGTATCATACATAAATATTATTATTTGTCAGTTTAATTCGCTTCTACGAAGAAACAGAACTAAATTAATTTCACGTTGCGGCCGCGAATAACTTGCCTCCTGTATTTATAGTAAAAAGATCACACAGCTGTCACACTACGTTTCTAGCTTTACAGGTTTTCAATAGAGACAATAATTGAAATAGTGATACTATAGTTGTTATAGAAAACGTTAGAATTATTATATTCTATTCTATAGAATGTATGTTATTACATTACACTAGTAGTAGATTGAGCACAATGTCAATAAACGCAACAAGGAAAAGTTAAAATCAATTTCCTATTCAGGAAAAGTTTGTTACGATAGCTTTATAAATGTTTACCAAGTTGAATGGCATTCAATTAAGTATGTTTTGCTCTGAGTTTTACAAACCATACACCGAGTGGCGTATTAAAACAACAGAGCTACCTGAAATTAGTTGTTGTTTTAGTTCCACTTGTATTTTATAACGCATTCTTTTTTTTCGAATAGTTATATTAGAGTCGCAAAGAGTGCTTAGGAAGGTGAAATTAACTCGTGAAGACAGGAATAGAAAATGGCTATACTATACTGTACTTACTTGAACTGTGAATGCAGTCTCTATCTACGACGTACGGAGTAACATCAAAGCTTGAGACATAAAAACAAACATGAAATATTTCCCTATGTAGTTAATTACCGATAGTCTTATCTACCTTGTCTATGGATGCTATGATAGGTTGATATATGTTTGTAACATAAATAATGGGAACTATCTACGTCTAACTTCCAAAATAAAACGTAAAAGATTACTATCACAAAAACGTAATGCCTATTTGCCAGTAACATTAACTGAATGAATAGCAGTGATAACATTGCCTCCAAATGGACGCTGTATTTATTATTAGATTGTTAAAAAAAAACGAAGAAATGTTTGCATCGTGGAGTTATAACTAGAGACGGTTCGTCTAAATATTTGCCGTACTCACAAAATGTATCTATATATCAGCATTTAGACATTACTGATAATATACTCGTACTTAATAACGTGGTATTTATCTAAGATCAATTTTGAGCTTATAATATTTCATATAAATACAGCTTATGTTAAAAAAGCTGGCAGTAAATTGTACTATGTAGTTAATATGGTATTGAATTCTTTTAAATATTTTTTTTTTATACTTCAAAAGCTTTTAAGACCTATCACACTAATTATTTTGGATCCAAGCAATATAAATATCTAGGCAATAGAAATATACAATATATATCACCACCATCAGATTATTCCGATCAACTATTGAATATAAGCCCTCCTCAATACCTTCCAATCAATTCTTGTTAGTTGTATACATTTACTTCATCAGTGCTGGCGGAGTAATTAGAGGCATTTATTTATTGTTGCCGTTGCTTTATGGTAAATGTAATACTTGATATTTCAGAAATACCTATTAATATTTAATATTAAAAAGTATAAAAAAGTGCCACCGATACATGTGATTTGTCTATAACATGATAGATAAATATATATATTTTTTATTTTATTTTTGTTATTCAATCACGTTTAAACCACAGATTGAAATAACTGAATAAATTTGAAATAAATTGGATGGACCATGTATATAGAATAATATTTATCGCAATTTAAGTGAGCACTGCTAATATATATTTATAAACAAGTAATTTCGTTTATTGCTTTTTGGCACGTTAACTACTAACCAGAGGGAGACTTTGCACAAAAGTCGATTGCTTACCCAAGCATCAGGAGGTACTCATCTCTGTCCCATTCGTGTTTCAACCGTGAAGCAGCTGTGTTTGCATGGCTGTGTTTCGGTTTGAAGGGTGGGATATGGCGTAAATTTACTGAGTACAGAAGAATAACACCTGAGTTCTCAGGAATGGCAACGCATAGGGGGTATCATGGGCGAAACAGTGAACTCTGTTATGTCCATGGTACTGCTCATGTCTATAGGCGACGGCTACCACTTTCCATCAGGTGGGCTGTCAGCTTGTTTGCCTTTCTAAGTTGTATAAAAAAAAGAAACTACTACACTAATAATAAGGAAATTTGATATAGAAATAGTTTAAATAACGATATATGTTACATTTGATCACGTTCTATCAATATTTTATAAGCATAATTAAACAAATTATATAATGGTAACCGTAACCAGTGGCCTCACTACTACAAACCCTCAACCCGTGAAAATTTCCGGGAAGGTTCTCAGTGTACATATATACATTATAAGAAATTCTAGCCTATCTATAAGGGCGTGTGGTCCCGGCATAGAATAGGCCTTCCTTTCCCAAGGGTGCTATAAAAGGTGACTAAAGAAGGGCGAGGGATAGGCAGCAGCGTCCCTCTTAAAACATCTCTAAAGCCTAATTGCGGTTGCCAATCCGCCTGCCCAGCGGCCATTACTGACAAAATCACTCAAGAGGAAGGCTTATGTTCAGCAGTGGATAGTTAAAAGCTGATATTATGATGATGATAAGAAACTCTGCTAAATGTTTCGACTGCGTAATCATAATTGGTCAGTCAATGTTTTATTTTTTATACAACTTAGCAAACAAACTGATGGCCCACCTGATAGAAAGTGATAACCGTCGCCTATAGGCGTCTATAGACATGAGCAGTACCATGGACATAACTGAGTATATTGTTTCGCCCATGATACCCCCCATGCGTTGCCATTCCTGAGGATTCAGGTGTTATTCCTCTGTACCCTGTAAATTGATGCCATATCCCACCCTTCAAACTGAAACACAGTCATGCAAACACAACTGCTTCACGGTAGAAACACGAATGGGACAGAGGTACCCAAGCAACCGACTTTTGTACAAAGTCTCCCTCTGTAAACACTAGATTAAGAATCTATGTCTCTAGCATTAAAATTTGCATGGGAATAACCGGATTTGTATATAGATTTGAAACATGTGTAATATCTGTATACAGGATTTAGTGATCCATACTGCATGCTGGGCATTCAACCAGCATCGCTGCCAGCTTCTCCGCGAGCATCTGAAGATGAAGGTCGGAAACATGGGTTCAGACTCAGTTTCAAACGTAGAGATGGACGTCAACAGCGCGACAGTCTCGGAAGACTACCAGCACGATACATCCGTGCAACCAGTGTCAGACCACATACACTCTCACCTAAATGGAATGAAACTTTCAAATTGTAAGTATAATAAAATTTTGTACTATACAATTATCATGATTATTAACTTTGCACACAATATTTCGATACTATAATGTGTCTTGCATGGCCACGGGTCGGAAGCTCACTGTAAATACATATATCGTTTAATAATGTGTAAAGTTGTAAATAACAATGAGAGTTTAACACAGATAAGAGTTTGAAAAAAATATATAGTTAGGATAAAAACAAACAACAGTTCCGACAAGAGGCGCTGTGCGGTTTAAATTACCCAAATACAAATATATCTATTTATATTAATATACGTACATTTTGAAAAAAGTATGTTGTATCTATAATATGTAATATTCTTTATATACTTAGTATAAATACTAAATAATCCTAGCTTTTCTGCTTAAAGAAACAATGGTGCATAAAAAAATAAATAGCTAAATTAACAACGTTTCTATGTTAACTATATATTAGTATTTTTTGTTTATTTCATTTTTGATTAATTCTATTGAAAAATACGCTCAGATTATTTGTCAGTTGTATTTAAAATATGAAAAATAAATCATATTATAGAATTTCATTAACACCTCAATAAAATTCATAACAAATTTATTTCTATTATAATAATTTTATTATATCTGCACACATAATATGAGAGTAAGTTTGTCAAAGTAGGTCGTCTGTTTGTCACATAACTCGCACATCCCACTACTAACGAACGGACTATTGTTAACTTTTACAACTTTGTAGGTATAATAATATTACTAACTTAACTGGCTACATAGATTATATCAAATTTTATATATGTATATATCTATCATAATCTTGCCATAATATGTTGGCTACTTAGTATAAGATATACCTATATCAGCTAAACTTTAGAAGGGTACCTATGCTTTTAATTAATAAAAAATAATTAAAATTTAGATCTTATAACATGAACCAACTTGTTTGCCACCTCAGTGGTATAAAAAAAAAACAACTGTAAAAACATAAGCTACAGTATGATAAGTTTTGTATGTAGACAGTTTCTTTAATTTATTACAATACTAATTATTAAATCAATAATTGTGACGGAATTATATAACAGTAGTTATATACAGTAATAGCCGTACTACGAAATTAATTCTATATATATTTCTTTTTATTTATGTATAGATATTTAATTACATCATGAAATTATGATAAACTTCCGCCTATGCTTACTCTTACAGAAACGGTGGAGAATATATAAGAATATCTATATATTGTAGTAACAGTATCTAAACATATATCCAGAAGAACTTATTATATATATATACCCCATCCGTATTTAACAGAGCATAATTTGCTTATTTGGTCCTATATTTTTAAAAACTACGAGTTACTTGATAAAGAATTTACTTATTATGTAGTTAATCAACAGTTGATTGTATAAGAAGTAGCTACGTAGATTCAATTTAATACAAACTAGGTACTATTATCTTTTTATGATATGAGTACTTATAATGGTAAACAAACTGACGGTCCACTTAAGGGGCAGTGGTAACTGTCGCCTATAGACATGAACAGTACATAGACATTACAGAATATACTGTGATACTCATGGTAATTCACATGCGTTAGCATTTCTGAGAATTACGGTGTTGTACCTTGTAATTTCAATGTCGTACCCCACTTTTTAAACTGAAACATAGCCATAAACAGAAATAACCATGCAGATGACTTTGAAATGAACTCCCTGTGGTCTTATTTTTATAAAGGTACCTAATTAGTATTGTTCTTTAATACAATGACTCGCGATTATTTTTTTATAAAAATTAATATTAATATCGTTAATGCAATATCAATATGATATGATATAAATTCCGTTATAATCAAAGTCACTATGTTTTACTTATATTTTTGACAAATTTTGATAATGGTTTGACCTCATTGATAAAATTTTCAGAACGTATGGTATTTGTTTGCATTTTAGCTTTCATACTATGAAAAATGTATAATGCACTCCTATGACAATGGTACTTCCTAATGACGAAAGTTTTAAGAAATTATGATAATATGATAATCATTACGTAAATTAATAATTTTGAGCGACATGTTTATGTAACTATTGAGCAGTGACATCGACGACATATCATCGGACGTTCTACACCTAGACATCTGGGATCACGATGACGAGAGCTCGGTACTGGACGCGGTGTCCAGACTCAACGAGGTTCGAGGAGTCCGCGGCTTGGGTCGCTTCTTCAAACAAGTATGCCAAAGCGCACGCCAAGGGAGCCAAGACGATTTTCTCGGTGAGTTATTGTTTTAGGTAGTTTCTAGGTTATTGTGAAATAAAAAATGTTAGTAGAACAATATATACCTAAATAGATAATCTTCATATTTAGCTCCAAAAGATGGCAGAAACTATCTTAGAAAATGTAAAAATTACTCTTTGAGATTGACTTTAGCCCACATGTAATTTTTTAACAAGTTATTTTATTTTTAAGCTAGAATATCACAACATTCGTAAAAATATTAGTTACACTTATAAACTGAATTATTTGTTAGAATGTATTGTTGTTGAGAACATTAATTCTTCTGATGCAAATGCTGCTAATATATTAATATTGACAAGGAGTTAAATAAAAAAAAAAAAAAATACGTCTGGTATTTTGAACATCGTTTTTAATACAATTATATATTTTTTATCAAAAATATAACTACCACTACTTAAGTATAATAAAAAAGTGTGACACTGGGGAATTTAAAATCCAAACTGCAACAATTGTATTATATTTGTTGTTTAAATACTTCCTGAATTAGATTAATCTTTAAGATAGATTCAAAAGTTACCTAAAAATGACAACATTAACTGCCTATTTAACGCTCTGTTTTGAAGATAATAAATAAATAAATTTAAATTATATTCCATAAGCTCTTCTTAATTACATATCACATAACAGTATAAAAAATATACGAGTATAGAATCTTTTCCATCAACAGGACATTTCGTAAAAAAATATTATAGTATAAAATTTTAGTTCGATATTAAGTTTCGAATAATTGTCACGAGATAGTCGGTTGGGTTGGTTTGGGTTTGTCTGTACTCATTTCATTTGTAAGCTACAGACCTGTGACACATAGACGGATGGATGGTCAGCTGAGTGAAAGGAGCCCCTTTTAACCTTTGTATACGAAATCTTAAAAACTACTATATGTTAGAATTTATATTACGTATTTCTTAATTTTATAGTATAGAACTTAATGTAAATGTAGAAGTGTGAATGAATGCAGGTATCTCTTATATCTTAATAATAAGAGTATCTATGTGTATTTTGATATAATATCACCCATAGAAACAATCAATATAATGCACACGAGAGCGAACAGACACTGGATGCTGCTGTGATTGCAGTCTTATTCTATGTCATGCGTACAGCAACGGAAACTTATTAATACATTTACCATTTATCTATTGAGTATTAAGTGAATACTATAGTTAGGAAAAGTGTTTTCGTTTGAAATCTCTTAAAAAATCTTTTATAGAGTTCTTTAAGGAGAATGTAAAAGTGGTTTCATCAGGATCACATTGTATATTTGAAATCTCTTGAGGTATAGTAACCATTATGATTCAGTGAGCTAAATAAAAATGTATGCATCACACAAGGATTTTTTTAAATAAAATTTCGTAACTATTCGTTTTGTCGTCAATTAATTTAAAAAAAAAAGTGATGATGTGCTTTTTAGCTATGAACACCATTTTCTTAACAACTTCAGAGCTGATTTGCATGATTCTGTTTTAATTAAAACAATTCTACTTTCAGGATATTTTGGGTTACTTTAAATTGATTTATGCAAAATATTAATTTTAATTTGAACAGACTATTTCGTTATTTTTAATTTAAATGCAAAGCTGCGGCATACTCAATAAAAATAAAATATGTATTAACTTTTCTATTTAATAAAATAAAAAAAGGTAACTCAACATAGAGAGCGGGTGATTTGGGTGTTAATGGCAGTCTGAGGCCTGACGTTGTGTTATCGCCTTCATTTATGTTCCTAGTAAATAAAACTCACGTCTACAGGAATATGACTCGCTCGTCGCTTTAATTTCATATCATGTGCAAAACGTGTAGGTTCACATTCCCTTTCATGAAGCTTGTCAGTTATGTACGGCAAACAAATATATTTTAATTAACATAGATTTGCGTTCATCACATTAAATGTCTGTTCCCGAAATATCTAATTGATAATTAAATTATTGTAGCTACGCGCAAGGTAAAACAATCAAAAACCATTCTAAAATTATATAAATGTGATATAATGGAAGCCTATAATAATATACTATAGAGTGATAACACAGGTAGCTGGAGAATTAAAGATATAAGTAGGTACCTATATTAAATTATATTATTTGAATACCTTGATTTTATAAAAATTGTTTATTGACAATAAACTAGAGATATGTCGAGATTGACTTCAGTATTAACTCGAATACCTGATAAGTATCTAGGTACTCGTGTACTCAATATACAGAACTCGTATACACGGTATTCGAATATAGGTTTCGTGTACTTACTCCAAAAACTTATAATAAACACAGTATTTAACTGTGTTTATTATAAGTTTTTCAGTTTCTGCTTCAGAAATTTATTAATATTTTTTCTTGATTATCAAAGACAAAATTATTAAATTTATAAAAATAAACTTCACAAATCAAAAGGAAAAAGTATTCAAGTCTGATAAAGTACTCGAATATCCAATCAAGTACTCAAGTAAGAACTTAAATACTTGATTATATATTCATCTGTTTCGTCTGAGTACTCAAACTTGAGTTTATATTAACTTCTTTTTTATTAGGTAATAAAAATAAAAAAAATAAACCTTTATTATAATATACCCATCTTGCACTATATTTTTAAATGCACTATACGTACGAGTAATACTGTTTTTAACAATTCTGTAAAAAAAATTTCAACTTATATTTCATGGAGGAACTCCAAATCTAAATATAGCTGAAGTCAATTAATCTCTATTGAACTTAATTTTGGGCTAAAAATTGACACGTAAAGTACATCGATTAGGTGACTGCGCAGTTTAGGTATATAAAAGGTTCGCAATTAACTCATTTTATCAATAAAAAAAAATATTATTTTTAGGACTTAGAAACTCTTAAGATACGTATTTTTTTTTAAACCACTGCCTACATCGGAAAGGAGTTTTTGCCGAAAAAAATCAGATAAAAAATTTAATTTACAAGTTTCATATTTAGCCCTACCACAAATGTCTAATATATTGACGTCATATTTTTTAATAAATAAAAAATTTTAATTACGCAAAACTATATCGGTCGTAGTTAATCGCTTAAGTAGACGAAAAAAAGGAATAACATCATGGATACAGTAATATCAGAATACATTATGCACTGTATATTATGTTAAACATGTCTATATACATGATCAACGTAACATACAGTAATAACAAATAATAAGTGATAATATGAATGATAAGTGTCTTCTATAGAAGACATTTACAATTTTTTAACAATGAACCATCAGCATTCCATGCTGTACTAATTAAAGAAAAATTAACCTTACATAACATATTTTAACATTTAGGCAGCTCACTAATTCAAGCTGGGTTAGTGAGCTGCCTGCTGAATCGCGCTGAATTTATTAAAATTAATATAGTGAATTTCAGATTGTTACATTTATATAATTTGAATACCTTGATTTTATAAAAATTGTTTATTGACAATCAACTAGAGATATGTCGAGTCAGATTGACTTCAGTATTAACTCGAATACCTGATAAGTACCTAGGTACTCGTGTACTCAATATACAGAACTCGTATACACGGTATTCGAATATAGGTTTCGAGTACTTACTCCAAAAACTTGTAATAAATACAGTTAGTGAGCTGCCTGCTGAATCGCGCTGAATTTATTTAAATTAATATAGTGGATTTCAGATTGTTACACCCTGCAATACATATTTAGATACATGAGTATATGTCTGATTACGTAGAACTAATAATTTCTTCAGGGTCGGCAAGACGCGTGCAATGCCGCTAGTATTGTAGATGTTCATAGGCTATGGTAACTGTTTACTATTAAGTGGGCCGTATGCCACGTTTGTCGCCTCAGTGGTATAAACAAATTATTACATGAATTTATTTTACATCTTATGTAGATCTTATGTATGTGATGTAAGATGTAAGAACTAACTAGCCTAGGTATTTTCTGAACACCAATAGAACGTTGAGGAGATTGGGATTTATAGGTTGGGCAGAAAAAGGTAGGATTATTAATGAGTGTACTCAAATCGAATTACTCTTTCCCGAATCTAATCTTAATCGCTGGGAATAATAAATATTACGATCGTAGTATTTAATGTATTTGCAGTTTAAGCATGACAATTATCAGAAATGATGCGTATTTATTTGATAATACCCATAATCACAGAGATATATACTTTGATTTTAGCAATAATATTTTTTAATTATAATTACTATAATTATCTTATATTAAAGTATCTATTGTAATACATAATCTACAGGGAGTATTATAATCAATTTGGTGTGACTTGATAGCACTACATAAATAAGTGACGTCATAATAAGCACCTACGCATTTAACCGAGATTGACACAAATTAATAAAAATATTAATACTTAGAAGTCTATAAATCCGTCATTATATTATAGGTACACGATTAGCCAGTATCGCTGTGATGAATTTCATTATATTCGTTTCAACAAATATGTAGCTACATAATGCAGTCCTAACTTTCTCTAAACAATATTTAAATCCAATATAATTTAATATCTAATAGAACCAGAAATTTAAAACTGGTAGATTCTAGAAAATTAAAAAATTTCACATTTACGTTGTTTGAAAGAAACGAGAAATAAAGGATATAACCGAGTTTTCTTCTAATATTAATATGAATTATAAACAATAATAGTAATATGTATCCATAAATGTTATATATTTTACTGAACGGGGTGTTATTTTACAGAAAACCATATCACTAGTTACTTGATTATAGACTTTTGTTTAATTCCGGTACCGTTACTATCCGTGCGACTGCTAATATTTGAGGATTGACTATTATTGTTACTTTTAGCGGCGATATATTAATTGTCTAATGATGCCTCATTTAAACTTAAATTTAAATAAAGATAAACACGTGTCGCAACATGTAGGTACGTGGACTAAATAATGATCAGAAATCAATGACTAATAGGGAACGTTGTAGAATCTTTATTAATAATAATAATAACGTTGTGTAACGTAGTAACGTTGACTGTC